GCACCCCTGGGTTGGCTCTGATTCCAGACCTCCACACTTCTCAGACCACCCCAACATCTGCAAGGGAAGAAGATGTTGAACATATCCACAACTGCTTGTTAATCCCAGTTTGCTTAATTATGGTTTTATTGAATGAAACACAACTGAGAGGGCCTCACCCTGTATTCAGACAAAGCCAAACAAATCACAGCTGGGCTTAGTACAACTTCCAACAAGGTCTTGATGTTGTGTAGCACTTCGGAGCAAGACACAGCAAGGCACTCAGAATGTCTGAAACCAACACTTTCTAAATTGGAATAGTGGGCAGTCAAGTTTGGTCTACAAAAACAGCAGCAGAGAAAACACATTTCCGAACAAGCATCAATAAATAACATATCTTTTTAAAAAAAGATCTGCATACATTGAAATTTCCCCAGGGGCAATTCTGAAACTTAACAAGAGGTGCAAAATTGAAACTAACAAGACTACAGCTTGCTTAAAAGCAGCCCTACTTGGTTGTCTGGATCCCACTGCTAACTCTGAAAGAAGAGTTCCATCTGCAGAAGGTAAACATACGTGAATATATTTTTATAGATTTTTTTTAAAAAAATCCACCCTCAACATAACTTCAAAATTTGCTCTTTGGAAGTATGTGGGTTTTTCCAAAGGAAGCGCAGTGTTTCTTCATGATGTCCTGCTCTCTTTTCTGTGACTTTTTCAGGTATTAAGTGCCACACCAGTGCAAAACATTACAGATCCAGATTCTAGAATAGGCGTCTCCAGACTTGGCACCTTTCAAGACTGCTGGACTTCAACTCTCAGAAGCTGGTTGGGGAATTCTGGGAGGTGAAGTCCACAAGTCTTAAAGGTGCCACGTTTGGAGACACCTGTTCTAGATAAATTCAGGGGGTCTTTTGCTGAAGGAAGACCTACGAGGACAGCCTCCATTTCTGCTCACCAGTTTCATCTTCTCTGAACATTAGGCCTGAAACCAAAAATTGTAGTTCACCATACTTCCGGCTTGTTGAAACCAGCTAGTTTTACATATCTTGGGTCGAAACTCACTAAACATCAACAATCCCATAATTTAGGGAACGAAACTGAGAACAAGATCTCGTTGGAACTTGCTCCTATCCATTGGCTGGAGGGGATCTTCAGCTACCCAAGCCAGTCTATCTGCAAAAATTGTCCACCAGCTGCTTTTGAGGCCACTTGCTCAAATCCCGTACACTCAAGTGGGTGTATAGTTGAAGCTTTGCACGCTGGTAAGCTGTGGCTTGAACCTGGAAAAGAGGAAAAGAGAAGCAAACAGTGAGTATCTCTTCAATGTTCTTCTTAAGACTTTTGTTCCTCAAACTTGGCCACTTTAAGAGGTGTGGAATTCCACTCCCAGAATTCCCCAACTAGCATTAAAGTCTACACAACTTAGAAAAATGCTGGCTGGGGAATTCTGGGAAAGGAAGTCCACAGCTCTTAAAGTTGCCCAGGTTGAAAAACACAAGTCTTAAGAGGAACATTGAAGAGACACTCAACTTGGGGTTCCACTTTCATTGATCCAAGAAGCAAAAGGCCACACTGACTGGTGAAAACTGTACAAGCATTTGCTTAATCATGGTTTCTTGAATTCAGTTTAGTTTAGTTTACTTTTATTGTCATTGCACCTCGTACAACAAAATTAAATACCATCTTCAGTGTACATTAGGGCTATGAAAATAAACACAAACACACATCCTCCACATTGAATTGAAAACCCCTGATATTGCATTCATATGGCACTGTACAAACATTAATTAAATTTTTGAATTAAATCCACCCAAGGTGGGGTTGTGTGTACAATGCAGAGCTGGCTGGAGAATTCTGGGAGTTGAAGTCCACAAGTCTTAAAAGTGGCCAAGTTTGGAGACCTCTGCTGTAGAGAGACCTGAAGGATGGAGATCAGATTCAAAGGTTCACCTTGGCTTCATGATACGGGGATAGCAACATCAGGTCCTCTCTCTTCATCTCCTGGGCCACCTTCCGGAAGGATTTCAACATGGCGGCTTTACAGAGCCGGCTAGGTCGGGACCCGCCTCCTGGATTTGCAATGCTGGGGGAAAAAACAGAGTAACAAGAGTTGGAAGACTTGCTCAAGCAGGAAACCCTACACCACTTCAGACAAACTCTTCTTTAAAACCTCCCTTGTGGAGGACTTGGAGTGAATCTTTCAGCCAGGGCACAAAAACCCAACTCTTGAGCCCATTCTTTTCCACTCCTATGGCCCACTGGATCAACAAAACCAGAGATAGGAACATTGGATTGGAGATAAGCTTATCAACTCCTGGCCTACAAAAACAAAAACCTAAAACAAGGTGCAACACAACTCAGAAGCTTGCAGACCTCTATTCACCTCCTATTTGGGCTCTCTAAAACAGCGGTTCTTCAATTTGGCAGCTTTCAGGTGTGTGGATGTGATGACCCAAAGGGGCGTGGCACAAAAGCAACAGTCACAAAAGTAGGTAAAGTCCTTTTAATTCCCCCAACTTGGCCCCCAGTGTCCAGTTATCATCAGCTGGAGAAAAAAACGCTCCCAAGAACAGTTTTTAAAGGGAAGAAATTCAGTCCGAACCCAAAGTACATATAAATTATAAATAAAAACCAACACAAACCACGCTGCAGCAATAAACAAGACAGGGCAGGATAAGGAATTGAAGACTTCAAAAGATAACAAAACACACACATTTGGGAGGACACCAGAACCCAGATAGGACTTGACAAAGAAAGATAATTCACGCTTTGCTTCCAGCAAGGTGCTGTGCGCAAACGCCTTTTTTAAATCCTGTGTTCCCAGCTGCAGCTAATGAAGGGAATCAGGGCCCTTTTCTCCCCCATAACCCACATTGCTCCCTTCTCCATTCCTCTCTGCGTGCCTAGGATGAGGAGAGGGTGGGCCTGGGTCTTCCTCTGAATGCCCAGCCGGACTGTGCCCCTTCCCCAGTTTCCTCCACAGCCAACGGAGCCACGCTCCCACTCCCTGTCAGCTGCTCGATCCCCCCCTCGGAATCAGATTCCAACAGGGGCGTGACAGTGGAGTTCAACTCCCAGAATTCTGGGGAATTCTTGGAGTTTAAGTCCACATATCATAAAGCTGCCAAGGTGCCAACACTGGTCTAAAAAGATGGCAGAAATGTAGAATTCTGAAAATCGAAACACCTCCATCTTGCTGTTGATTTTTAACAGACTCTCATGTTCTAAGTATTTAAAGGGTTAAGTAATTAAGTAAACATTTCCTGGAGAAACAGACGGCTTACAAGAATGGCTCTTGAGTTAGCAGATTTTCGGAATGACAGATACCTGACTTCCTTGGATAACGTGGCTTAGGCTGCGAGGGAATAATTGTGTAGTGATGGATCTGCAGAATTTTTAACAGTGGGGTATCAAAATAATCTTGCCATGGAGTGCCTTCAGTTCACGGAGTATGCTAAACCCGAGCTTGTATTAATCGTAGTTTGTTGAAGGGTACAATGGATCATGTTGGGACTAACACCATTATAAAGAGTGGATTCCTATGAGCCAGATTCAAGTCAACCCCAAATTAATCCCAAGTCAATCTCAAATCAATCCCAAATCAATTTCATCAATCCCAAATCAATCTTGTCAATCCCAAATCAGTTTTGTCAATCCCAAATCAATCTCGTCAATCCCAAATCAATCTCGACAATCCCAAATCAATCTCATCAATCCCAAATCAGTTTTGTCAATTCCAAATCAGTTTTGTCAATCCCAAATCAATCCCAAATCAATCTCATCAATCCCAAATCAATCCCGTCAATCCCAAATCAGTTTTGTTAATTCCAAATCAGTTTTGTCAATCCCAAATTAGGTTTGTCAAATCCCAAATCAATCTCGTCAATCCCAAATCAGTCTCCAACCAATCCCAACCCCCCCAGCCCCCAAATTCATCTCCTCAATCCCAATCAATCACCCTAAATCAAATTCAGCCACCCAGCTAGGACAAACCGGTCTTGGGCCTCCCCCCAGCCCCTGTCCCCACTGCCTCCCACCAGCCCTCAGCCCCCTCCACTCACTCCCTTTCGGCCTTCCCGACAGCTCCGTTCACACATTCCAGCATCTCGTCTCCTGCGCACCAGTTCAGGCTCAGCGCGCCGCATTCTGTCGGGGAGCTGAGGGGGGCCATGGGGGGCCCTTCGAAGAGGTAGATCTTCTTGTGACCGTACGGTTCGGGGAAGCCATCTTCCGGTCCCGGGTGCAAATGCTCGTTGAGGACCCAATAGAGAATGTCGTGGTTGTGATAAGGGTCAGCTGAAAATGGAGAAGTCCGAAAGCGACAAGAGAAAGCAAACACGAATAGCATGGGTGAAAATTTTTGGCTATGCCGTAGAATTAGATAAGTGGCAGAAGCTATGGAATAGAAACTATAAATTATCAATACCAACAGCACATAAAGAAAATTTGTATAAGCTGTTTTATAGATGGCACTTGGCACCAGCAAAATTGGCAAACATGTTTAAAGATAAATCAGCTAAGTGCTACCTGATACCTGGATCATACTACCATATGTGGTGGATATGTGTAGAAGATAAAAAGATATTGGACAAAAGTACACACTTAGTTGGAAAAGACGATAAAGCAACATATAGATCTAAAACCCGAGATACTTCTTCTAGCGATGGTACCTGAAAGTTATAGTAAAGAAAAAGTATATGTAATTGTTCATATATTAACTGCAGCCAGAATTGTATTTGCTCAAAATTGGAAAAGCGAAAAAATTCCAGCAGAGGAAAATGTGATTAAGAAAATATTAGAATGTGCAGAAATTAATAGATTAACATTAGCAATTAAAGAAAAAGAAGAAACTGAATACTCTATGGTATGGGATCTATTTTATCAATGGTTGGAAAATAAGAAATAAGTTAAAATTGAGTAGATGAATATATAGTGAAATAAGTTAAGTGTCAGGACTCCAGCAGTTACCCCCATTTAAATATGAGTCTCGAGCCGAACTTCCAAAACTTAAATATGATTTATTAGGAATAAACATGTCCGGCGCTGCCTGGGTGCAGCCGACTACGAGACACATAATTCATTGTCACCCTTGACCCTGGTTTTCCCCCACCCCCTGGGTGTATCATAATGCATATTCTCCAATGGGATACTTCCATAGCCCAGAGTCACCCATCATGCTCTCCAGCTAGAATTTTGCACAGCAGAAACTTCAGTCATCTAGAAACTATATTTGAAAACATTTATGGAATGCAAGCTGCACACTGGTTCCCCCACTCCCTGTCTGTTGGTAACTCTAGAAAAGACCATAGAAATATTTTATGAGTTGACATTAAGATTGTTATAATGACAAAATATGGGATAATGGTTTTTAAAGAAAATGTAATTATTGGTATTTTAGTTAAGGAATGTGTGTTAATTACAATTGTTTGCACAAGATATACTTATCCAGTCGACACACTGTTTAAATGAAAGATGGATTTGTTGTAAATACCAAATAAAACATTTATATACCAAAAAAGAGAAAGAAAACCCAGGTCATGGCAACCTCGTACAGTCCTTGACTTACAACCACGGCCCAACTTAATCCGATAATTCACCTAGGACAATGCTGGTGATGTACACGGGATGCAGGAAGTGGCTGAGCAGGGCCCCTTGGACTCCCAGGACGGTCCAGCGGGTCAGCTTGTCACTGCCGGAGGCACAGTAGACGTGGGTGGACAGCATGGTAGGGCTGCAATGCGAGACGGGCTTGAGCCGCCCTTTGATGTTGACGTGCAGATCGACCGAAGGGTTGGACTTCAGCAAAGGGGTGCTGGGAGGAAGCAAAGGCCGAAGGGGGAGGTCAGCGTGGCAGAAAAGAGGGCGCCAATATTGGAGCGGCAAAAATGTCCCATCCACCCCACCCCACCCCACCCAAATTCTGAGTTTGCCGGAACGGTTCCAACCGACACATGGTTCATGCCAACAATGCCGTTTGGACACGGGAAGGATGCAGGGGTGGGATTCAAAAATCCCAGCAACTGGTTCGCTGCCCAGTTGGCGGGTGGGTGTGGGCCTACTGGAATTTCCTGTTTTTGGCTCCTGGTGGGCCCCCAGAGCCTGGGGGAGGCCGTTTTCGCACTCTCCAGGATCCAGAGGCCTCCTCCGGGCTCTGGGGGCCCACTGGAAGATGAAAAGAGGCCTGTTTCTGGATTTCCAGCAGGCCCATTTTTCTCCCTCCCAGAGCCTCCGCGCAGACCCTGCCCTTACCTCCATTGAAAATAGGCCGCGTGGAGACTCCTGGGGGGGGGGGGGGGGGCGGGGCCAGCCAGTTGGTTGAAATACCGGTTTGACGAACCAGCTGTAACTTTAACATCCGGTTTGTTCAAACCGGTCTGAACCGGTAGAATCCCACTCCCGGGAAGGATGCCGGTCGGAGAGCCAGTGTCCTGACCGAGGCTTCTTTGGAATGCATAGAACACAATCTAAGTTCCAGCAAAACCTCTTTTATCTCCACAGCTGCGAATTACTTTTATTCACAGCCTACAAGGCTTTGCAAACAGTCTTTCAGGGGGATGTTCATAAACACCCACCAGAGAGCTAATGGCCAAAGTTGACACACAGTCGAACAGAACTTTTCAAAGCTTGAACCGACCGGACGAACTAATTGCTTCCTGCAAAAGCTCCTGTCCCGTTCGCTTCTCTTTCATGTCCTGTGGGAGGGGCCAATCATCTCTGAGGCGTGGCCTTACTCCTGAGTCAACCCTGCTTTCTCAATCGTTCTCGTCTCCTGGTAGCCCTGCGCATGCGGAGGTTGGGAACCGGTTCCAGAAGCTCCCCCGCCTCACTGCTGTCCGAACCCAAAGGCAGCTGCCGACTGCCAGCCTGTCCTGGCCCCATCCCTGCCTCCGATGCAGAGCCCTCATCCGAGCCCTCCTCAGCCTCCAAGACCGGTCCAGGTTCCTCCCCAATCTCCTTGCTACCGCCTGACTCTGCCGCCAGCTCCATTAGCGGGCCACAACAACCACAGGCAACATGGCCAGAGATCTAAATGCAGGAAGTCCTCCACTTACAACCATTTGTTTAGGGACTGTTCAAAGTTACGACGGCACTCAAAAAGAGGACATAACTTACGACCATTACAGCATCCCCCCACAGTCACCTGCACTTATGCGGTTTACGACAACTGCAGTGTCACTGCAACCTTCTAACCAGCAAAGTCAATGGGGGAAAGCCAAACTTGCTTAACGGCCGTGCTGGGTGGGGAATTCTGGGAGTTGAAGTCCACTCGCCTTAAAGGCGTCCAAGGCTGAGAAAGGCTGGCCGACATTCACCTCCAGTTTTAGTGAGAATCAAAGTCCCAGATTCGGTTTCTATCGTATCTTCTAAAACCTGGAGGATGAACCTGGTAGATCCTGGCGACATCAATGCCAAACCTTGGTCTGATCCAACCCCCCTTTTCCATCATTCACCCGCTCTGGACCCTGCCCCAGCCTTCCCGTGACACTCACTGGAGTTTTTTCATTGCTCCGTGCGGCATTTGGCTCAGGTAGAGATGCAGGTAGCACCGGGGCTTCAATCTTAGGGGTTCCCCACCTTCCACCGGGCAAAAGATGCCCTGCTCGAACGCGGCCGGATCCTGGCTACAGCATAGCAGGAGCTGCTTGTAGAAATATCTGAGGACGGAACAGAATCAAAGGGGGGGGGGATCGTGGGGTGACATGGATTACGGGGTGGGAGTCAAAAATCCCAGCAACCAGGCAGTGAACTGGTCGTTGTGGGTGTGGCCTACTGGAACTTCCGGGAGGCCTGTTTTTCACACACACACACACACACCCCAGAGTCCGGAGGCTTTCCTTGGGCCTCTGGGCGAAAAACGGGCCTTCCGGAAGTACTATAAGTCTGAAAATGGGCCTGTTTTCAAGCTGGAAACTTCCGGAAGGCCCGTTTTTTGCCCTGCCAGAGCCGCTTCATGGCCCCTGCGTTTACCTGCACCCAAAACAGGCCGCATGGAGACTCCTGGGGGGAGGGGGCAGGGCCAGCCGATTGGTTTAACAACCGGTTCGCCTGAACCGGTCTGAACCGGCTGAATCCCACCCCTAAGTATGTGGGGGGGGTTATTCAATGGGACCTCCCATTAAACAGGGACCGAAGCAGCCCAACCCCATCCAGGAACTACAGATCGTTTTTGTCTTACAGCAGTTCGTTTAGTGACTGTTGGAAATTATGACGACGCTGGTAGAAGTGCCTCATGACCATTTTTTTCACTTTGTGGCAGCCTCAACAGGGCCACCTGACCAAAATTTGGACGCTTGGCAAGTGGCTCATATTACGATAGTCGCAGAACCCCCGGGGCTCACGCAATATACATTCAGATGCTGGGCCACTGACTCCTATTTATGACGGTTTCCAGGGTCCCAGGGTCATGTGATTCCTCCCTTTTGTGACCAGTCCATGGGGGAAGCCAGATTCGCTTAACAACCATGTTCCTAACTTAGGGGTTCACTTAACGACGGTGGCGGTGAAGATCCTACAGTGAGGCAAAACTCAACTCTGCACCTGTCTCGCTTAGCAACGGAAGAGTTGGGCTCACTTGCGGTCAAGGACTCCCTGTAGAAGGGGGGCATCTCAGCCTGGGCCCGTCTACCTCTTCCTTCCTCAAATCCAGGGGGGGTTTCTGGGGGAGGAGTGGGAAGGGCCCTTACCTCATCAGGGCCCGGCGGGCCACCACAAGGCCATGCAAGTCATGGAGTTTCCGGCCGTCGAATTCCATCCAGCCCTCATAGCAAACGTCTCCTGCCCCCAGGGCCACCAGCTCGTAGGTCTCCTTGCAGGCGCCCTGGCTGTCAGCCGCCCCTTCTGAGAAAATGGCATTTATTTCATTTAGCATCGACAGAAGCCGTGCAGTCGCTGACACCGAAGGCTAATAAAACACGCCACACATACAAGCACCAATGGAACAATTGGAACAATTAGTCCGTGGAACGATTGGAAGATCTTAAGAAGGGATTAGACCACCGTTTGTCTGAAATCGTACAGGGCAGTGATGGCTAACCTTTGCGTTGTCACGTGCCAAAAGTGTGCACGCAACACACCCTGCCTCCCCTGCACATGCGTGTGCAACCCACCCGTGTGTACCATCCACCTCTGCGCATATGCATGTGTGTCCCCCCCCCCCCCCCGTGGGCACACATGGCAGATACTGGACAATCAGCTGGCTGGCGGGAGGCACGCAGTGGATCTGTTCCGGGCAGCAGCTCCTATGCTGGTAGAAATGGCTCTGCGTGCCACTTCCGACATGCGTGCCATAGGTTTGCCATCACGCAGGGTGTTGGACTAGAACAGAGGTGAGATTCAGCCGGTTCTGCCCGGTTCTGGAGACCCAGAAGCAGAAATCTTGAGTAGTTCAGAGAACCAGCCAATCCCACCACTTCTCTGCCTCCCAGCTGGGTCTCCTTTGGTTGCCCTGCACAGGAGAAGGGAGCTGGAAAGCAGGTCGGTGGGGTGAGGAGGGAAGGGAGATCTTGCAGTAAATCCTTCCCCCGCCACACACACACCAAGCCGCGGCCACAGAACCAGTAGTAAAAAAAGTGTCCCTTCCAACTCTATTCATATTCAACGGGGGCTCACCTTGCTCCAGGACAAAGGCCGCCACGTTGCCCAAACAGCCCTGGAAGGCCGGCTGCTCCGCGAGAAGTTTGTCACACACAACCTTGGTGATCACCGCGCATCGCTCTTGATGGAAGGATTCTGGGGAGAAGGAAGACCAGAAGGGGGATCAGGCTGGACGCCTGCTCCTTCTGCCTCCTAGGAGGGGGCTGCTTGTCTGGTGCTCCCCCAGGCCGGTCGAGAGCGAGGATCCGGCAGGTTCAGAAAGGAGGAGGAGGAGAGGGAGAGAGGAGGAGGAAGACTGTGGGGTCCATGGCGCTCTCTGAGCTTGGTGGCTTTCTTGCAGATGTTTCATAACTCAACTAGGTAACCTCATCAGTTGCAAAAGGGAGGGTGTTGTGGAGAGGAAGAGGAGGAAGAGGAGGAAGAGGAGAAAAGAAGAAAGAGGAGGAGGAAGAAAAGGAGGAGGAAGAGGAGGAGGAAGAGGAGAAAAGAAGAGGAGGAGGGGGAAGAGGAGAAAAGAAGGAAGAGGAGGAAGAAAAGGAGGAGGAAGAGGAGGAGGAAGAGGAGAAGAGGAGAAAAGAGGAGGAGGAAGAAAAGGAGGAGGAAGAGGAGGAGGAAGAGAAGAGGAGGAGGAGGAGGAAGAAAAGAAGGAGGAAGAGGAGGAGGAAGAGGAGAAAAGAAGAGGAGGAAGAGGAAGAGAAGAGCGAGGAAGAGGAGAAAGAGAAGGAGGAAGAAAGAAGAGGTGGAAGAGAAGAAGAGAAGGAGGAGGAGGAGTGTTACTAAGTTTGCAAAGCTTCCAACAAGGAGAAAATCTCAAGAGGTCGCTAGCAATAAAAGACACATGGAATTGAGCACACAGGTGGAGTTCGACTTACGGCCACAATGGAGCCCAAAATATTTGTCGCTAAGCGAAGCACTTAAGTGACTTTCAACCCATTTTACAACCATGCTTGTCCCTGCAGTTGTTAAGCGCATCTGGCTTCCCTGCTGGCCTTGGCTCCTCAGAAGGTCACAGAAAAAGGAATCATGTGACCCCCCCCAGGACGCTGCGACTGTCGTAAATACGAGTCAGCGGCTAAGCGCCTGAATTTCAATCCTGCGACCACAGGGGCGCAGCGACGGCCATAACGGTGGAAAAAAAACCATCACACCACTCACTTTTTTTCAGTGCCGTTGTAAATCGGAACGGTCACTAAACGCATTGTAAGTCATAAGCTGAGGAGTGCCCGTAATAAATAAAACTCCCCCATCCTGTGCATTTTGTCAGCGTGGTCATTGCCTTTTCGTTCCTCTTACAACGTTCAACTTGGGGTGTGCAGCCCCCTGCAACACACAAAACACACACACACACACACACACACACACACACGTGAACCTCCCCCCTCCCTCTTTTAAGTCCCAAGATAATTGGCCACGCACTTTGCAAGTTTTCCTGATCCCGTTGCAACTCGGGACGGCTACAGCAGGGTTTCCACGTGCCAAGGGCGCTGCATTCAAGCCCCCTCCTCTCCATGCGGGTCTCTGTGCGCTCCCCACCTGCCCTCGGAGCCCCCTCCCAGACCCCCCTTGGCACCCCCAGCAGCGCCCACCTCTCTCCGCAGCCTCCTGAGGAAGGCCCGGATTTCCCCGGGCGCAAGGTTGGTGCTGCTGCTGCTGCTGCCCCTCCTCCTCCTTCCAGGGTGGGGGGCTCTGCCCTCTCCAGAAAGGGCGTGCAACAAGGCTCGCTTCCGGGCAGTTTGCACCCTCCATTCCTCCCCCCACCCCCCTTCTTCTTTTCCTGCAAAAGAAGCACCAATTCCTGAGTACGCGCTGCAATTTCACCCCGGCGGCGTTGAAAATTTGCAAACCGGTTGAAGATGGGTGGACTTCAAACTCCCAGAATTCCCCAGCCAAATGGGGGGGGCTGGGGGGGGCACCCAGCCACTAGTCGGGCCAGGGAAGCAGCGCGTGCGGAGGGCGCCCGGTTGCAACAGGTGGCGGGAGCGGAACCTGGGGAGGCGCGGCCGGGGGGGGCGTGTCTGGGGCAGGAGTCTGACCACGCCCTCCCTCCCTTCCTTCCTTCCTAGGGGAGAGATCTCCGGGAAGGGGGATCCACTCTGCTCCCCCAGCAGCCAATCGGGAGGCCGGATCCTCTTGCTGCCAAGCCAAAGCGTCCTCGCAGGCTGGAGCGCTTTGCAAGCTGCTGCTAATTGTGATCCAGGCGGGGGCTCCACCTTGGAAGCCCCCCCCCCCCGCTTAAGAAAGGCCCTCTGCTCTTCGGGGGTCGCTTCCGAAGATGTTAGCTTTGCAGGGAGCCCAGCCGGAGCTCGGATGGAGGCTGGGGGCTGCAGCACTTCTCAAGCTTGCCAGCTCAAAAGCCTGGACTTCAACTCCCAGAATCCCCCAGCCAGCATGCCATGGAATTCTTGCAGAGGGGTGGGCTTCCAAATTCTTTTTTTCCCAAGCTTTCCTGAAAATGTTGCAGATTAAAAAAAAAACTACTACTAAACTATCAAGATAAGGGTTGTTTTCATTATTCCCACTCCAAAAAAGACACCGGATATTTATTTAGAGTGTTTATTATATCTGTTTATTCTAATTTTACTCCGCTAAGCAGGCTCCCCTTGGCCACATTCTTCAGGATTGGATCATATCCTTTTTTTTCCTCATGTTTAAATGCAATAAAGTAAAAAAGGATTGGTGAAGGGTGATTGGCAGTTTTCCTACCTGGGCAGCTACATCTCCCGGCTGCTACCTTAGGGCAAGAATATTCCTATTTTGCTTAACAACGGAAAGTTTGAGCCGAACTGTGGTCGTAAGTCAAGGACTATCTAGCATTTTCAAGAACTCCTTGGAACCCGCCATTCTAGTTGGCCACATGTGGCAAATGGATTTAGTAGGGAGGGTTTCCCAGTTGGCCACAGGGAGGCTTCAAATTCCCCAAACTTCGGTGGAGGGAGAAGAAATGGATGGTTGGCCGTCCGTGGAGTCCGTTGGTGGAAATACCCCAGCTGAGGATGATGGATTTTCTCCCGGTCTCTCTCTCGCCTCCGGCTGATCTCTCTTGGATCATCATGGGCAGGGTTGGCGGGGATCCTTCAGATTGGGAGGTACATAAAAGATCCCACTCTGAGCCCTGCAGGGGTGGTAAGGGGAGATGCCCACAGCGGGGTCTGCCACGCAGCCCGTGGAGAAGTTGCTGAAGAGGGAAACCTTGATTTGGACCAGCAACTCCCGTCCCTACGAACAAAGAGGAAAGAGTCAGGAGGGGCAGAGTGGAAGAGGCCTGCACTGCAGGGAGGTGTTGTGGCCCGCCGGCGTCTGGTGGAGCTGGCAGCAGAGTTGGACGGGGAGGAGGTTGGGGAGGAAACTGGGCCAGTGCTGGAGGCTGAGGAAGGCTCGGACGAGGGCTCTGCGTCAGAGGCAGAGGTGGGGCCAGTTATCAGCTGCCATCAGAGATCAGTGGGGCAGAAGAACAGTTGGAGCCTGTTCCCAGTGAGCACATGGGCGGGGCTGCCAGGAGAAGGGAACAGCTAGGGAACAAGGATTAACATGGGATTAAGGCCACAGGTGGACGGTGAATGGCCCCTCCCATCGGGATTAAGAGAGGAGCCAAACGGGAGGGGCCTTTTGCAGGAAAGAATTCATCCGTTGCAGCCGTGTGAAGATCTGTCTGTGCATCTCAGAGAATCTGTGCCGAGTCCTTCCTTGTCAGCACTGCGTTTGGAAATATTTACTGGGCAGCTCTCCAGGCTAGATGAGGTCTGTGCTCCTAATCGCACCCTTGAAAGCCTGTTTGCCAGGCCTTTGGCTGAAGGTGAATGCAAGAAATCCACCTTCGTTTAATAAAAGGGGTTTTGCCGGGACAAAGAGTCGGCTTAGTGCTTTTTGGGGAAGCCAAAAACCCACCTGCCTGTCTGTCACACACTGCAGCTGGTACCGGGGTCCCAGGAGAGGCTCCAGGGCGTCAACGAAGGTTCTCAGCTGGGGAGAAGAGACCGTGGAAAGAGAAGGGGGGTCAGGGAAGAGAGACCCAGCAATTCTGGGGGTGGGGACCCCAACGCCCCCCCCTTACAGCTAAGAAACCCACCCACCTAGACCCAGTCGATTTGAAAGATCTGCCTAGCATTATGACATGTCCTCGACTCACGACCTCTGTTGCTAAGCACGGCAGTTGCTAAGCGAGTTTTGCCCCATGTTACGACCATTCTTGCTGCCATTGTTAAGTGAGTTTAGTGCAGGGGTCCCCAAACTTGGCAACTTTAAGACTTGTGGACTTCAACTCCCAAAATTCAACTTTAAGACTTGTGGACTCCCAGAATTCTGGGAGTTGAAGTCCACAAGCCTGAAAGTTGGCCAAGTTTGGAGACCTCTGGTTTAGTGACTGAAGTTACAACAGCATGGGAAAAAAGGTGATTTAGGGCCGGTTCTCGCACTTATGACCGGTCCTCATACTTAGGACTATTGTAGTATCCCCATAATCAAAGCTTGGCGCGCAGCCTGTTTGCAAAATCTCAAGGTCTCATGTGGTTTATGACTTTTCCAGCAGTTTCCAACAACGTTAGAGGGGAAGCTGGATCCACTTAGGGACCAAGTGATTCAAACGAGTATTTTGGCCATATTCTGCAGACCCTCAATTCTTGGGAAGTGAAGGGGGGGGAAAACAGGTACCTGGTAACTCTGCTGGCAGGAGGGAATAATCTCTGCCTTTTCAAAGGCCCTGCAATTTAAAAAAAGGAAGCCAACGGTGCTAATTAATGGAAAGGCAGAATAAGTTTGTCTCCATTTGAGATTTATTTTAAAACTGGACTTTACAAGTTAATCCTCTTTAAGACCGAGATTCCTGGTTAGGCTGAACCAAGTCCTCTTCTCCCTGAAGCAGCAGCTTGCAGCCTCTTTGGTCAGATCTTATTGATCATTTAATCTTATTTATTATTTAATCTTATTTATCAATCCAATTTGTGCAGTCTAGCTCAACTCCAGGGAGGAACAAGGCAGAATTAGATATTGTAACCTGCCCAGGAGACGTGCAGCAAATAAATTTCATAATAAAATAAAATAATTTTGAGTCCTGGTGGTTCTACGCAACCCAGGTGGGCATATGCTGCAATCCCCTGTTTTTGCATAACCGTCATTTCCTAAACAAACCAAGATGGGCTGGAATCTTACAGCTTGTTCTTCTAAAACCAGCCAGCCACCTTCTCCTTCCTAGGATGAGTGAACCAGGCCTCTTGCATGACCCACATTTTCAGTTAAGTCACCCTTTATTCTTTCAGGGTTAAGAGATGGAGGGGCAGAAGTGGAACCCCCATTGGCAGAGGGGATTAGGGTTAGGGTTAACTCAGGTTTGTCTATGGAGATTTGCAACCATCCAAGTCCTGGTTGTTGCAAAGGTGTTTTTTTTTTCAAGAGGCAACTGGACTTAGTTTTTCCTTGGTTTCGCTTCTCATCCAAGAAGCTTCTTCTGTTCTCCACCATCCAGTCAGAACTGAAGAAGCTTCTGGGATGAGAAGTGAAACCTCTTCAAAGGGAAAAAAAAAAACCCCAGAAAGTCCAGTTTGTCAGAGTATATTCATGAACTGGATTAGAGCTTGGTAACAAGGTCAGCCAATGAATAGCCATAGCAACTAAGTCAGCCAATGAGGACTGTTTGGAAACTGAAACTAGAAGTAGGCTAGGCGTGGCTCTATATTAAGCTCTGCAACTCTGTTAAGCTCTGAGTCTGTTTCTGAGCTCCTGGGTTGCTGCTGTTCTGCTCTGAACCTGTAACGTGTCTGCTTCTGTTTGAGTTTGCTCATGATGGAGAAATCTACAACTGGTATTGTAAAATTCACTTCATATGTTTACAAAGAAGTGAAATGAAGCCTCGGCCATCTGTGTTTACTTTTCTGGCGCTGAATTTTCACTACAATACTCTGAACACAGTTGCCTCTTGGAAAAAACACCTTTGGGTTCACCCAGATTTCAAGGTAACCTCGTTCCGGAGCAACTCCACAATTTTCCCCTTAGAGAAGCCACTTTAAATGTCTGCTTCAAAGTCCCGTGAAAGTCAGGGTTCCCCTTGGGGAGGTGGGATTCCAGGTCACCTGTCAATATTGTATTTGGTGTGCAGGAAAAGTGCAGCCCCGAAGAATTTCTTCGGACTATTCAGGGTTTCGATGCAGCCACCGCAAGTCCCGTGTTTTTCCCATTCTTTCTCCCTGGAAGAAGAGAAACAAATCACGCTGCGGTTCATGTAGAACTGTGATGGTGAACCTATGGCACGCATGCCACAGGTGGCACGCATAGCCATTTGTGCTGGCACACGAGCCGCAGGCAAACACACCTCACCGTGCATGTGCGTGCCTCACAGCTGACTTTCGGCCTCCCAGAGGCTTGAGGAAAACCTTTGCAGGCCAAAAAATAGCCCTGTTTCATCACTTCCTGTATTTCCGGAAATACCGGAAGTAACAAAACGGGCCCATTTTTCAGCCTGCAGAAGCTTTCCTCAATCCTCTGGGAGGCCGAAAAAGGCCTCAAATGGGCCAAAAATCAGCTGGGAGGTGCAGTGCAGGTAAGGGGGTGGGGGTGGGGATTGTACGCGCATGCGCAGGAGGTTTGTGTGGGGGTGCACATTGCCTTCTGGGTGCTGGCACACGAGCGCAAGCACGCACACAATTTTTGGCCCAGGAGCCCCAAAAGGTTAGCCGCCACTGGTGTAGAATATTTCTAGAGGTAGTCCTTGACTTACAACCGTTTGAACTTACAACTCCTTTGGAAAAGAATGGTCCTCACACTTACGACCGTCAGAGCATCTCCCTACAGTCACGAGATCAAATGGATTTAGTCCCGTGTATTTACAAGAGTTGCAGGGTCCCAGGCTCACACGATTGTCATTTGAGTCTATGGCAGGGGTCTCCAACCTTGGCAACTTTAAGACTTGTGGACTTCAACTCCCAGAATTCAACTTTAAGACTTGTGGACTTCAACTCCCAGAATTCAACTTTAAGACTCGGGGACTTCCCAGAATTCAACTTTAAGACTCGGGGACTTCAACTCCCAGAATTCAACTTTAAGACTCGGGGACTTCAACTCCCAGAATTCAACTTTAAGACTTGTGGACTTCAACTCCCAGAATTCAACTTTAAGACTCGGGGACTTCCCAGAATTCAACTTTAAGACTCGGGGACTTCAACTCCCAGAATTCAACTTTAAGACTCGGGGACTTCAACTCCCAGAGCTCCTCAGCCAGCTTTGAGGAAGCTTTGCTGGCTGAGGAATTCTGGGAGTTGAAGTTCACAAGTCTTAAAGTTGCCAAGGTTGGAGACCCCTGGTCTATGGAGAGAACTATATTCACTGAATGAATGCAGGATTCACTTAACAAGTGCAGGGATTTGTCTAACGATCGTAGCCAAAAAAGGTTGCCAAATTGGATTCACTGCGACACTCTCTTGCTAACAATGGAAATTCCAGGCGTCAATCAAGGACTGCAGCTCTCCAGCAGCTACGTGTTGTAGTTTTGAGATGTGTGGACTGCAACTCCCAGAATTCCCCATTCTGGGGGTTGACGTCCGCATATCTTAAAGGGGCAACGGTCAAGAAAGGACCTGGATGGAAGGACTGATGTCCCATTGTCGCTTCTTCTGCGTCCCCACCCGACCCCTCCCACCATCAACCAGACCTCCAGAGGGTTATTCTTTTCTTCTAACTGGGATTACCAAAACTGGAAGTTGCTCAGATTGGTGAAAGTTGGCCAGTGACGGTTCAGTTCGGGCACCAGGTTCTGCGAGAAGGAGAAAAAAAATATAGTTGACTTGAGATATCAGCCACAGGTTGTGTTGGAATAACAGAAACATAGAGGGACCTTGGAGGTCATCTAGTCCAACCCACTGCTTGAGCAGGAGACCCTATGCCAGAGGCATTTAATCTTGGCCAATATAAGGTTTGTGGACTTCAACTCCCAGACTTCTGTGCCGGCTGGGGAATTCTGGGAGTTGAAGTCCACAAGTTGTAAAAGGGTCATTTTAACTGGAACTTCAACATGGCCGGCTGGGGAATTCTGGGAGTTGAAGACCACAAGTCTTAAAGTGGCCAAGGTTGGAGACCTCTGTGCTAAGTCAACATTCAGCTGCTCTTCTCTTGTTGAATAAGCTGCACCATGCAAAGCCCATCCTGGGTTTTTGGATAAGAGGACCCAAAGAGCGAGACTACAATAACAATGAACCTATGGATGTTCTTAGGAGAGAATTTTAACTTACTATCAGGTCGGAAGGGAAGAGACGCCAATAGGGGCAGCATTTCTGAACATCGCTGGGCCTGGGGAGAGAAAAGGGGAAGGCCATGTTCCCAACCGTAGGAATCCCTTTCGCAGCTTCCCACGGTAAAACTCCATTTCCCAGGGTGTCCAGGGTGGCAGCCATGATGGTCAAAAGAGGGTTGGAAGAGGGATTGGGGTTATAGGAAAGCCAGGTGGGAGCAGCTCACCACAATCCATGGATGGTCCAGTTCTTTGGCTTCTCGGACATGACACAGTCATACTTGCTCGGCAGAAACTTTGAGCAAAAGATGGAAAGAGAAAAAGAAATAACATTCTGGGGTCCTTGGCGCTCTCTGAGCTGGGTAGTTTTCTTGAAGACGTTTCATGACCCAACTAGGTAACATCATCAGTGCTAGAAAGGAGGAGGGGGTTGTAGAGAGGAGGAGGAGGAAGAGGAGGAGGACTGAGGGATCCTTGGTGCACTCTGAGCTTTGTGGCTTTCTTGCAGACGTTTCATGACCCAACTAAGTAAGTGCTAAAGAGAAGCATCAAAGCACTGATGCACCAAAGCACTGATGATGCTACCTAGTGGGGTCATGAAACGTCTGCAAGGAAACAACCCAGCTCAAAGAGCACCCAGTTCAGCCCTGAGCTATAAATATTCCCTTCAATTGGCAAAAATAAAATTGACACTCTCTTTCCTATCCTGATCATACTGTCTGATTCCCCTGTTAATCCCCCAATCCAACACACGCAGCCCTTGTCCCCATCGAACCTGAAGATGATTTCAAAAACAGATTGTCAACTTGACTTGCCCCTCCCTTCTCTGAGAAAAGGTGAGAACGGTGGTCCAACCTCATCCTGAAATCCTCCAATGGTGGAGCACCCACAACTTCCGTAGGCCATCATGAATTAGAATGGAATAGAGCTGGAAGGGACCTTGGAGGTCTTCTAGCCCAGCCCCCTGCTCAATTCTGGATGAGCTCGTTGGAGGGGGAGGCATTGAGCCCTCCTCTTCAGAAGGAAACTTGGTGGTCTACTCACCACGCAGAAGGAGCTGGGCCACATCTGGACAAAGATCAGGCATTCCCAAGGACAGAGCCTGCGAGGAAAATGCAACCCCTTGATCACTCTCCCTTGGGTTCTCCAGCCCTCACCCTTGCAGGATGTCCCACCTACCTGGAGTGGTCTTTCTCTGACTTCTCCCACAGCTTCTCAGAGCTCAAGAGGTACAAGAAAGAGCCGGTGTAGAGGAAGCCCAGCATGGCCCAGCTGAGTGGCATGTCTGCAAGGAAAGCAGAAGGGGGTCAGAGGAAAGCTGGCCAGGAGACCTTGTGGTCTTCAGAGGCTCAGGAAGAAAGCCGTTGGCTCCAAGAACTTGGACAAAGAAGGTGGCCAAGTTGATGGGAAGTCTCAGCTACTGCAGAAGATTCCAGATTTGGTTGGGGAAGTTTTTCTGGGGTGCCCAAAATGCTAGAGGACCTCTGGCCAACCATGATGGTTCACTGTTGCAGCTCCTTGGTCCCCGTTGGGCAAGGTTCAGCTTCTCTCCCACCACACCACCACAGAGAGGAAGGGTACCTGATACCACCACCTCCGTCCCCTCCAAGATCCACAGGCACTGACTGACTCTGCAAGAAGAAGCATCCAACTGCTTTCACTTCTGCACAGAGGGGGAGGAACCAAGGCTCAGCCGTGACACCCCCCCACCCCCGGGGGACCTCACATCCTCCTGAGAAGGTGGGCTGGTGGAAGAGGCAGAGGGAGGCCTCGTGGTTTCCCAGAATGGCTCAGTTTCTCAACCTCGGCCCCTCGAAGATGGGCGGACTTCAACTCCCAGAATTCCCCAGCCAGCATTGTCCACAGGTCTTAAAGTGGAGACAACATTTGGAGACAACCCCGGCTCTGGGCAGGGAATTCTGGGAATTAAAGTCCACAAATCTTGGACCTCCCTGCCCTGTGCCATTCTGGACTCTCCTCGAAAACCTTCAACGATGGAGCCCCCCCACAACCTCCGGACCTCAGCCAATGAATTGGGGCAGGGGGTCTTTAAATGTGGTACCAAGGGGAGGAGATTCCCCCTGGCCTTCCTCTGCTCCCCCTTTGGATTGGGGTGGGGGGGAAAGGACGCTCAGTTGCAACTAGTATTTTGACCTTCCCAGCTTCCCTTACTCCTGGCATCTGGTCAAGCCACTTCCAGCGGTCTCCACCCCTGTCAGCTGTTTTGGCACTAGGAGGAGGAGTATCCTTGGAGTAGCCTCAGCAAAGGACGAGGCCCACCAAGAGCACAAGAGCAAAGCAGAGAGAAGCAAACGCAGGAGAAAATGAGATCCTTGCTGGTAAAAACAGAATTTTTTTGGGGGGGGGGAGCAAAAAAAAACCCAAGCCAGTTTATTGCAGCCCCCTCCCCTAGAGGGCTCAGGGCTACTTCTCAACGCTTGAGCAAAAAAAAAAAAAATGTGCCCTTTGGCCGTGCAATTCGCACAAACAAAAGTTTTGGAGGAGTAACAGGTCTCTGGTGTAGCTCCAGTTCAGGGTTGGTGGGAGGCGAGACACATCTGGTCGATCAAAAGCAAAACATTTCAATTCTGCTTTTTGGTCCCCCTGGAGTGTGTGAAAAAAAACCCCTAAGAAATGCAAGTGGGTGTGAGGAAGGGAGTGTGTTTTGCACCTATTTACTTGCAAAAGCAGAAGTTGGGAAAATTATGCAGGGCAGCTCAATTACAGATACAGATAATCAGTTGGAAGGGACCTTGTAGGTCATCTAGTCCAACCCCCCGCCAAAGCAGGAGACCCTACACCATTTCTGGCAAATGGCAGTCCAATCTCTTCTTGAAGGTCTCAAGTGATGGCGCTCCCACCACTTCCGAGGGCAACTTCTGTTCCATTGGTTGATTGTTCTCCCTGTCAGAAAGTTTCTCCTTGTTTCCAGGTTAAATCTCTCCTTGTTCAGTTTCCATCCATTATTCCTTGTCTGGCCTACAGGAGCTTTAGAAAATGGCTTGACCCCCTCCTCCCTGTTGCAGCCCCTCAAATATTGGAAGACCGCTATCATGTCTCCCCGATTCTTCTCTTTGCTAGACTAGCCAAGCCCAGTTCCTGCAACGGTTCTTCATATGTTTTAGCCTCCAGTCCCCTAATCATCCTGGTTGCTCTTCCTGCCCTCTTTCTAGAGTCTCAACCTCTTTTGTATAGCTTGGTGACCAAAACTGGATGCAGTACTCTAGGTGTGGTCTTACTAAGGCTTTTTAGAGTGGTCTTAGTACCTCCCTTGATCTCGATTGTATCCCTCTGTTAATGCAACTTAGGATTGCATTAGCTTTTTTGGCGGCTGCTGCACACGGCTGGCTCCTATTTAGCTGGTTGTCACTGAGACTCCAAGATCCCTCTCACAGTTACTGTTATTGAGCCTGGTTTCACCCAGTCTAGATATGTCCTTTTGATTTTTCTTGCCTAAGTGTAGGACTTTCCTTTTCTCTACACTGAATTTCATTTTATTAGATACCACCCAGTATAAGGTTTCCTGTCTGAGCAGGAGGCTGGACTGGAAGACCTCCAAGGTCCCTTCCAGCTGTTATTCTATTCTATTCTATTCTATTCTATTCTATTCTATTCTTATTCTTATTCTTATTCTTATTCTTATTCTATTCTATTCTATTCTATTCTATTCTATTCTATTCTATTCTATTCTATTCTATATTCTATAGCAGAGGTCTCCAAACGTGGCAACTTTAAGACTTGTGGACTTCAGCTCCCAGAATTCTCCAGCCAGCATAGCATAGTCCACAAGTCTTAATTATATGCTGGCTGGAGAATTCTGGGAGTTGAAGTCCACAAGTCTTAAAGTTG